CACTTACTGGAGTCTGGACTTTGTTGTTTCCAATCATCATTTTATCTAAGTTAACTACACACTTCCTTGGTAGTAGATAGTCTAATCCTAATATGCATCCGTCTTCAATGTCAGCCAAGTATACTTTCTGTCTGTCCCTTATGCCCATGAGCTCGATAGTTACCCAAACTGGTCCCCACAACCTTGCAGAATGTCCTTTCACACCACAGAGCTTCTGTACAGCTTCTGGTACTCTTTGTTATCCAGCACCTTGATGCTCACAAGGGTTTGCTGAGATGCAGAATCTATGAGAAAGTTGCACCTTTGGCAATCCAGCTTCCCTGTCACGTAGATACTATGTGTGCTTGCCATTTTACACTTAGCTGTTGGGACTTTCACGATGGAGGTTGGTGGGCGTCCCTTAGCACCAACCACTACTGGTTTCCCGAAGCTGACTTATTGGTAGTATTTTTCTTACACTGGCCCCTCAAATGTCCGTGCTTTCCACAGTTCCAACAACCTTTCTGGATACCAGCCTTTACTGCTGTATCGTCTCCCCTGTGTTCAAGTTGCCAGCATTGAGCTCTCTTGTGCCCAGGTTTGTTACAGTGCCAGCAAAGTCCCTCAAACCTCTCTGAAAGCTGACCTTTTCTGGCCTTGAATCCAGATGACTGTACCAACCTGGGTACCTCTGTTGCTGGACTTAACGTAAGAATCAAATTCGAGAGCTCTGGCCATTGCATCCTGCATGGTAGAGGGGTGTGCTTGCTTCACTTGTATCTTAAGTTGGGGACTGTCCAATGCATCTACGAACTGATCCCTCAACAACAACTTGAAGAGTGGTGCAGTTGGGTAGGCCTTGTGTGCCATGCTTTCCAAGTCCTGAGTCAGCTCTTGCAGGCTCTCCCCTGAACTCTCGTCCTGAACCTGGCCCTGTAGCCTTCTGACTGGTTTTGGGTTCCGTACCTGAGTTCTAGAGCCGCTACCAGTGCTCTATAGTTGTGCCTGTCATCTGCTGACATTTGTCCAAGTATTTCCAGTGGTTGTCTCTTCAAGCTCGTTGCCAGATATACTGCTTTCTGCTCCTCTGTCCATCCATTAATCTCTGCCAGTAGCTCAAATTGTGCTCTATGTGCTTCCCACGGTGCCTTCCCATCAAATTCCTGTGGCTTCCTTTGTACTGGATCACTCCTAGTACCGACATTCATATCTGGGATGTGACTTCTAACGGGACTGAATATGTCTGCATTAGGGTTTAGCTGCAGGGTCTGGAAGGGGCTTGTCATTGTTGGGGGCTGATTAAGTCGATGGTTAATGTATCCTCCTTGTGTAAAAGACAATAAATCGTCCTTTAACGTATCTAATTCGCTTTTAAATTTACTAATGTTTTCCGTTTGTACTTCTTGTTCCAGTTGCCACTGTTGTAGTCTCTCTTCTTGTTTATTTTCTTTCTCCTCCAATAGCTGTTGTAATCTCTCTTGTTTATTTTGTTGTTCGAGCTGCCACTGCTGTTGTCTCTCTTCTTGTTTCTTTTCTTTTTCCTCCAACAACTGTTGTAATTTCTCCTCTCGTTGTTCTTGTTTCTTTTCTTTTTCCTCTAACAACTGTTGTAATTTCTCTTCCCGTTCTTCTTGTATTGCTGCCATTAAGTCTGCTAGGCTGTAGTTTGATTTGCCGCTTCTCGTTTCCATTTTTTTTTATCCCACTCTCTGACACCAATTTGTTACGTCTCCGTTTGTTAATTAATTTTCCGTAACTTCGTTCCGACGAAACTTTAGCGACACAAGTCCTTACTTAATAAAACTGGTTTATTCTTTCTGAATATAACTTTATGATACACTTAATTTCAACATTCGCGCTAAAACAAACGTTAACTTCAACAATACTCTCTGACTGCAGATCAATTACTCACTACCTACATATTGTCCCGTCACGTTGTCACCCTCATATATATACCAGTCTACCCCCCAATCTAGGAAGGTTCAAGAAAGAAGTGGCGTGATTCTAGTCATGTGACCTTGCTGACGCAACAATACTAATAATCAATATGTGTATCGCTAAATGTCACTAGATCAGTTTTGTAAGTATTTTAAGAATTTTGCTAAATTTCATCAACAATCAATTATATAATGATAATGACAGGATTAAAGCATAATTTCTGTGCAAAAAACGAGACTTAATAGTTTTGACTGGAGGTCAAACCTTAATAGATATGCATGCACCAAACTTAGCCATAAATGCATATGTGAATTAAATCTCAGGGAAAGACCACAGATGTTTAGTATTATTGAGTTTTTATAACTGCTTTGTAATCATGGATGAAGATAAGGTTGAAAAGGGTATTTAATTGGGATAAAACTGAATATAAAGCTGGAGCTCTATATTAACCTTGGAACTGCAAGAGACAGATTGTTTACTATGATACTCCTGCACAACTATCAGGTTCAGCATGGTATTTCGTATCCCTTAACACTAAAAGAGATCGATTACTTACTATGCCATTCCTTCACCTCTAGCAGATTCAGCATGTTAATTATAATCCCTTGAATTACCATACATTTGTCATTACTGGCAAATCCAAATACAAGGGTTACAACATGCATAACATATAAAGATGATTATTGCAAAAACCATAGGTACATAGATAAATTCTGGCATAACTCAGATCAGATATATTGCATTTGAGTACTGAGACACATTCATTTTTAAATATTTCACTGAAATATAGATTTTGTATTATGTGTGTTGCCAATCTTATAGAAAAGAAATATGCTTTGGACAGTATTATGCATTTTGAGAAAGACATTAGAGAAAGATTGTCTGCGAAATTCCACCCAGTTTGCCCTTATCATGATGCTATGTCAGATGAAGATAAATTTAAAATGACAATTTATCATCACACACACAACAGCTTTTGTACATATCATAATGTGGAGAGGGGGAGAGTATTTTGTGTAAAATTGTGAAATGGTGGTTTTAATGTGTAGTTTAAATAATTCCATTGTTATTCAGCTTGAATTGTGAAAAAAATGTATGAATCATGAAATCCTATCTAAATAGAATGTGAATTGCAAGATTAAAAATTAATAACCTGAACAGTGAAATGTATACACTGCCCCCTCTATAAACAATGATACTCTTTTATATATAGCCAGTATTATATAATTTTGAATATCTTCATATGGTTCTGATAGTTTTGATTACTGCAATTTTGACTTGTAAGTACTCATTCACGTGGGTGTTTCATATCAATGATTATAATCCAGTTAAGATGTATATTACATACATTATACATCATTATGTAACTCATGTTGCAGAAAAAAATACAAACTACAGCATCAATCAATTGTAAACTATGCTTTCATTTAAATTAGAGATATAAATTAAAAATTGACACAAAACTTAATACATATAGATTTTTGCCTCCAGCTTCCTTAACACGGATTATTAACACCTTGTTTTTGATTGGCTACAATTCCCTGAAGAAAATACAAAGGCCTTCATGCCCTAGTATAATTCATACAAATATTTGGTTCAAACTTTGGTGTTGGCCAATAAGACATAAATAATGAAAACTAGGTTCTAAGAAAGATGAACATTAAATACAGATAATAGCTTAATACTGTGATCCTGAGATATCCTGCAACTTAATTGGTGAATGACAGTATGGGTCTACCACAAAACGTGGAACTTGACCTCTTTGGCCAGAGTGCTTACTTCCATCAACACAAGGATACCAGTACCTTATTTTGATCATTCTCAACCTGAAAAGTATTTGTATATTTTTGTAAAAAAATCACGAAGCAAGAGCAGATATTGCAAGAAAAATATGCACCAGTATTTTGAAATGGAATTGGTTTATGTAAATCCCTATGGGGGCCATGGGGATTCAGAATAACAAATTCTTAGAAAAAACTTTTTACCCTGTAATTCAAACAAACTGAGTTTTATGAGGCTATGTACATTTATCTAGCTCTTACATTACATCAAAAAATATAGTTATATACATATCAATGAAAACACTTAATCCTGTATGCTAAACATTAGTTGTGTGGATTCAAGTCTGTTCAGTGCTTGCCAAAAGTCAACAACGATATCCACCTTTGCTACCTTTACCCCAAATTATTGTGTGATGTATGATTATTCCTGACCTTATTCAATCATAAGTCATTCATAATTTGGGTAACTAATGTAACTCAATTCAAGATTCCATTTATCATTTTATGTATATATATATATATATCACACTTGTATAAGTTATAATAATATATATATACACATCATTAAAATCAATACACAATTTCATAAGATTTTGAAATGATTTTAATTGTATATTGATTTTAATGTTGTATATTTATTATTTTACCATTTGTCAGTTTCTCTTCTATACACATGCTACCAATACTGTAAACTTACTTAATGCATTCTTACTCATATAATTTTAGCCAAAGTAACATATTTCAGTTTATATGGTGAACTAATTAATTTTTTGTTATTTGTAACAGGTAAAAACTATTCATCAGCAATCAAAGGATAGGCTGTACTGGCAAGGTGACAAAAGTCCTGGGTGTAGGTTGGCCCTGTGGATGAGTTCTGGATTTCAGAGCTAATAAGATAGGTTTGAATCCATGTGATACCACAAAATATTCCCTGTATTAGAAGTTGTGTGTGCACAATAAGAGTGAGTCAATCCCTTGGTATGAACAGCGGGTAGTAGGGATCATGCTGCTTTACCTCTGGTCAGAAATTTAAAATCAGGAATGATGGCAGAACCTTAATAACTTTGCCATAAATGTGAATACAAAAGTCCTCATTTCTACTGAGATGTATACTCTCCAAGTCTCTTGCATTTTCAAGAGTTTAGCATTTACTTCCTTAAACTCACCTTGTCATAACACAGAAAAAGTTAGAACTTCTGACCTTCCTCACTAACTCCATCTACATTCAATTTCAAAATAAATTTCATGTACAAACCAGTGACCTTCCTATGAAATCGCCTATCTCATTTGTTCTCAATGACATTTTCACAGAAGTTTTGATGTCAGCGCCTAAGAGTTGTAGTCAATTAAAATACTCAAACCTAAAAACTGAGCGCTATTCGATGACGAGGAACCCACTTTGAGACTAATGATGTTTGGAGATGGCTTGAATGGGTAATGGACAGCACACAATCCATTTGTTTTAAAATAATATGTATTCAAAACAAGTGAAATGTATGTACAAAAATTATTTACACTATATGAACTCACAGTTTTATCTAAAATGCTGAAAAAGTACCTTTTCTTGTCAAAAGTCCTCACAGGCTGATTCAATTACTTCAGAATCCAAGTAACAAGATGGATTATTTTTCTCTACTTTTATCACAGTATTATCAGTGTATAATTAACTTACGTTACCCTGTGTGTTACCATAGTTGTATCCTGAATTTTAAGTAACTGTCTCCTTTTCGTCAAATTATACACTGGAAGATTCAATTACTTTAGAGCACCCTTTGACAAGACAAATTATTCGCCTTATCTCTGTTAAACTGTGAAACTCATGTTAAGATATCACCCGTTAAGACTAATCACTCTCACACCGCTAAGTTCACGTTTTATAACTTTTTTTCTGACTGAACTTCACTTGACTTCTTTTTATACTAACTGAGGCCCAGAACTTTTGACAAACTACGATACGATACGCTATGATCTAACAACACTCACATAGCGAAAAAAACTTAAGAGGTTTGAGAAAGACGATGTCAACAATATTACAACAATTGAACTACACATACAACATATGACTCTTACCGAGTTACGTAACGAAATTTATTATAACTATCGCCTTTAAAATAATTAACTTTAACATGCTTGGCATAAAAACTAGATAATAATTAAATATTAGATCACTAAATGAACTAAATAATAACTCTTACACTAAACAGTCTTGTATATCCAACACAGATAAATCAATATCCTTTCTTAAATAAAGAAACCAAACCTAAACACATTATTCAAAGTGAGATGTAACTAGTGATTTGTATAGAGATAATTACCTCTTTTTGACTTTTGTAAGCAATATGTTCATAAATATACCCTAAAATTACTTTAGCTTTACTACTAGCAACAAAGCACTGCTCTGACTGTTAGTCACTTATTAACAATATGCCAAGGTTTTTTATTTCATTCATAACATTGTATGGGTTGCTATCTATGAAGGGAGACTTAGAGAACTATAAAAAATCGAGAGAGATGGTAAAAAAGAACATTAAAAAATTGAAAAGGGCATAGGAAGAAAAGTTGATTGAAAATGTAAAATTAGGAGAAAGGATTTCTTTAGTTAGGATGGCCATAGGGCCTTTGAGGGATGATGAAGGAAGATTCATTTATGATGATTATGAGATGGCTGAGATACTAAATTGTACTTTTTTATTCAGTTTTTATTAATGAAGATTCAAGCAATATTCTTCACCATGAACACTTGCTAGATGAAAATGTGATTGAACAATATGATCACATTAATTATGAGCTTGTTAAGAAAGAATTGGGAAGTTTAGAGAATGATAAAGTTCCTGAGCCAGATAATATTTGCCCAGGCTTCTAAGGGGGTTAAGGATTGGCTATTTGAGTCACTTACTACAGTTTTTTGTAAGTCCTTGAATAGTCGGCAGATGCCAGAATATTGGAAGTTGTTACTTCTCTTTTCAAAGGAAGTGATAACAAATTTTCAAGTAATTATTATAGGTTTACATCAGCAGTAGGAAAAGTTTTTGAATGTCTCATAAAAGATGCTTTGCAAAGTCCTTTAACAAAATTTAAAATTTTGTCGGATAGTCAACTTGGTTTTGCAATCCAGCCTTACTAATTTTTAACATTCTTTGAAGACGTTACTGCTTACATAGATGAGGATGTATCCGAGTTTTGAGAAAGCATTTGACAAGATGCCACATGAAAGTCTTGTTAATGATCTCTACAGGTGTAGAAGATAATATGGATCCTTAAATAGAAAAGTGGTTGGATAGAAGAAAGAGTTTTATAAATGTAATTCAGTCTAACTGGATTAATATCACAAGTGGGGTACATTAGAGCTCAGTTTTAGGGCCTTTGCTTTTTCTTATTTATTTAAATCAATAACAGACTATGGAATGGTCTTAAGTCTGCTGATGATATTAAAGTCTTCAGTATTGCTAACTGTGAGGAGAAAGCTGCTGCTTTACTAAAGAATTTAAACTATTTGCACCAACTAGTATCATTAACGTAACCAAGAAAAAAGTAAAGGCCCACACAATGATATCTGATGTAATACTACTAGATATTGCCAGTTCACAACACAGTAGTAGTAGAAACTTTGTATCATAATTTTAATTATGAGTATAATTGTATATAACAGTGTTATGAAAGAAAAGGGGTCTTGTTGTTCAATCTCTTAAGCCATACAAACAGCGTACTGTTGTTAGTGGCAAGACAAGTAGGATTTTAGGTTGTTTCTACATAAATATTAAATACAAATCAAAAGAGATTATATTTCGCTGTACAGATCATTGGTTAGGCCACATTTGGAGTACTGTGCTCAGTTTTGGGTGTCTTATTGCAGGAAGGACATTAAATTGGATTCTGAAAAGGGCTACTAGGATTATACCTGGGATGGAAAGATTGTCTTACGAGAACAGGTTAAGATCTCTGAAATCGTTTTCTTTTGAAAAAACGAATTAGAGGGGATTTGATTGGAGGTTTTTCAATTGGTAAGGGAACTGACAGTGTTGATACATCACTATTTTTTTTACTTAACGATGATAATGGTAGGACTAGGAAACATATACAAACTTTGGCAAGGTAGGATTCATCTTCAGCTAAGACAGCTGCATTTTTCTAACAGGATGGTTGGCCTTACAGACTGGTATGGTGGATGCAGTTAATTTATCATAAATACCTGAGTATTTTATTTTATTTGAAACTTTAGTGGTTGGGACAGCTTAGATGTCTAACGAGATTCCCACTGTCCCTATCTACTATCTAGCGAAAC